GCCTGGTGACTTCTGTTATGCTTGGAGCACAGGCTGTGTGCTGGAGCTGTGCTGGGGGGAAGACAGGCTTGGCCTCAAACACTGTGGTTCACAGTGGGGACTGGGAATTCCTCCTGAGGGCAGTGGAGAGCCACTGAAGGGCCCAAAGAAGGCCGAGGCCAAGGTGGAGGTGGACAGCGAATGGACTGGGGGCTGGGTTGGGGTGGGGGGCAAGACTGTGGTGGGGAAGGAGGCACTGAGACAACTCATAAATATCAGAGACCAGTAAAGCTCTCTAGCATCAAAGCATGTTCTCTCTGGCCTAGCACTGGTAGATTCCAGAGCAGGTAGAGACGTTGTCCTCTGTGACGTAATTTCCCCAGGCAAGGAAATGCCCTGGCCGTAATAGTAGCAGTAGTAATAATAATAAGAACAACTGCCATTTGTTCACCCTCCACCCTCTGCCAGACACTTTAAACACCTTATTTCTAATTAGTGTCATTTCACACGTAAAGAAGCTGAGGCCTAGGAAGGTTAGGTAACATGACGAAGTTCACATGGTTAGGCCAGTGTTCAAACTGAGTTTGAGCTTTTTGCCTACGATTTTTCCAAGATACAATTCTGCATAACATCCTCCAGGAGTCTAACGATCCTGAAACATTTGACTATCTCTATATTTTTCTATAAGGAGCCCTGGGCGTGCAACGGTTAAGTGTTTGGCTGCTAACTAAAAGGTTGGCGGTTTGAACCCACCCAGCAGCTCCACGGGAGAAAGACCTGGTGATCTGCTTCTATAAAGAATACAGCTTAGAAAACCCTATAGAGCACTTCTACTCTGTCACATGGGATTGCCCGTGAGTTGAAAATCGACTCGATGGCACCTAATAACAACAACAGCAACAGCGTATTTTTCTGTAGGTAAATACATGCATTTTGTACAAAAGGGTGTAGGTTTTAAAATATCTCCCCCTCTTGTTGCCCAGCCACTGAGTTTCCCTACGTGGACGCTAACAGAGTTACCAGTTTCTTTTGTGCCTTTCCTGAGCTATTATGGAGCCCTGGTGGCACAGTGGTTAAAGCGATTGACTGCTAACTGAAAAGTTGGCAGTTGGAATCCACCAGCTGCTCCCTGGAAACCCTATGCGGCAGTTCTACCTGTCCTATAGGGTCGCTATGAGTCAGAATCGACTCGACAGCAACGGGTTTTGAGTTATTATATGCATTTATAAACATATTCACGTATGTGATTCTATATATTTTTTTAAGAAAGTAAGGTATATCATGTCATAGATGCTGTTCTGTACTTTGCTTTTTTCACTTAATGATACATCTCTGATCCTTACGCTGCCTCTTAGAAGAACATGGGCAGCCCCGACTCCCCCTGGCCCAGGTAGGTCATTCTGAGGATGGAATGGCTTTTGGTGTGTGAAGCTCCCCACTGGGGGGTTGGCACAAATGGAGGCTCAGTCACTGGTCCTAGTTGTGGCAGGTCTCCTCCATAATTATGAGGGATGGCATTCTTCATCTGGCCCTTGGAATGGCAGTCTGACACTGAGTAGGGGGTCAGGCAGCCTGGGTTTGAATCTTGGTTCTAAACACTGACTAGGGGTACAGGCAAGGGCAAACTTCTTCAGCCCTCTGAGCCTTACTTTCCCTATCTGTAAGGTAAATGGCTTTAGGCTGGATGACCTTAAAAGGCCCTGTTACCTCTAACAACCTGGGATTGTCTGACCAATTTCTATTGGTAATAGAATGGGGTCTGTGACTTAGACCTTAAACCCAGCTTTCTAGCCATGGGTGCCTTCCTTCCCTCTTCCAGGAAGTCTTTCCTGAACCACCTTTACCCCAAGGCTGGGCTAGGAGAACATCTGGAATCCCATAGCACCTCTAAGTTGAAATAGTACATTTTCTTCTCTGTCTTATGCATCAGACTTGGAGCTCCTGAAGGCCAAGATCAAGTCCACAGCTCCCAGCTGCAAGGCGCCTAAGATAGAGTGCTCATCACAATAGCCACATCCACATAGCTCTCCTCACATTCTCAACATGCAAAATAGTCCAGCACATGCCTTATTGATGTTGTTGGATCATTGATACTAGTACCTCCTTCTGCTAGAAAGAAATCTGAGGCTTCCAACAGTGAAGCCCTGTGCCCTAAACTGGGTTTCAAACCCAGCTGTTTTTCTGAGAGCCATAACATGGCTGTTATGTCCACCTACGCTTTCCTCAGGGACCTGAACCCCTCCTTGAATCCCGTCTTCCTTCTTGTCTGAGCTGCCTAGTCTCCTTTTGCACCTCCAGATCCAGTTTTTGCCCTGCTCTAAGTTCTGCGAGGCTGACTTCTGGCCACTGCTCCTCCCCAGCTCCTCTGAGCCCTGGCTTCCTGTTGTGTCTAGTCAATGGGATCAAAGGGTGGGAGGAGCCAGAGGGCCACGTTTTCCCTCCCATTCCCCTGCTCCCTCCCAGTGACTCCCTTTCTGTACTTAGCTCTCAGCTTCTCCAGGGCCAGGCCTTCTCCTTGGCTTCAGTTCTCACGGAGTTCTTCTAACATTCCTCCCTCCACTTGCCTCTTCAGGCCCTTTAAGGGTGGTAAGCAGCTTCCCACCATCACTAGCCAGGGAGTGGTTCACCAATGCTTGTGGTTCCTTTAACTCTGCCAACATCTCTGGTAAATAGGCCTTCCTTTAAATGCCTTTCAATCCCTCTTCTTTAAACTTTCCTCTTCTTGAAATGCACTTCTTTGCGTGCGTCAGCTGTTCCTTTTCAGGATTCTGATTGCTACATGTGCCCCCGTCGCATTTCCTTTTCCCTTTCTCTTTCTTCTGATGCACTGAGAAGTTGCAGAGACTGGCCAAACCACGGCTTTGAAACATCCCCACACGTCCGTTCTCCAGGGAGAGGGGTCTAACTACAACATAATGGACAGCATTATTCATTTCTTGAGCACCTACCATAGGCCAGGCGTTGAGACAGACGTAGCAGCAAGGATGCAGCAGCGAGTAAAGAGACTTGGGGCCACTCTTCACGGAGCTTAGTGTCCAGTGACAGCTCGTGTTACACACTTGCTCCACGACTGTGGGCAAGCCACTGGTCCTCCTGGATTGTGCCATTTCACTTGATGGTCTTCTAGACCTAAAGAGCATTCTCTGGCTTCTGCTGACATAGGGAATCTCACCCATGGTCTTGGGCAGAAGAAGAGTTGCCCTTCAGGACCTAGGAAAGCTCAGGTTCCTGGAGAGCAGCGGTGTATTAACAAGTAAGCACAGTACTAATAGGCTCACAGTAAGCAAAGTATGCACGGGCTTGACTGTGCTTACTTACTCATCTGTAGTGCACAGTTTCACAGGGTTTCATCACGTCTTTGATGTGAAAAACAGGTGAAATTGTGCACTACAGATGAGTGTAAGTAAGCACAATTAAGCATGTGCTTGCCTTGCTTATTGGGTAATCCATCCCTGCCTGGAGGCCACACTATGCCTTGTTCAAGAGCAAGTGTCTCTGGCTAAAGATAGAGGCACAGTGCTCCAGAGGGCCGAAGGGGCCTTGCTATTTGGCTGTGTAGGAGCCAGCCTCATGATGGTCAAGGAGTCGCAGCATGACCTCCCGTGCCTTGCAGTCCTCCTCTAGCACAAACAGCATTTCCGGTTGTCTACATATTTCTGCCTTTTGACAATGGTGTCATGTGGCCATGAGTGCTACTGCCTGAAACACAGCCTGTGTGTTGATACATTAGCCTTGGCTGGCTCATGGCTTCTTCGTTTTGAAGTTGGCCAGGGTTGTTTGAAAACCAGGTTTCCAATTAAACCAACTGAGAAACCTATTTTCTCTGCCGGAATTGGATTCTTTGGCTGAAATTAAATCAGTCATCATAGATTCTGCAGGAGTATTTTTTTAAAAGGAAATTACTTGAATAGCAGTCTTAAGATTGTGGGTACGTTTTTGCTGTTTCTGGTTCAGAATGACAAATTTTCTCTGGGCTACCTGTACCCCCCTCTCAGTATCATTCTTCCCAGACCCTTATATTCTTATTTGACTAAGCATTCTCTATCCCCCACAAAATCTTGAGATCAACAATCAGGCAGGAGGTTTTTTCTTGAGCATTAAAAAAGAATATTTCTATTGGTTATTGGTTAAGTAAATTACAGTGCAGACACATACAGGGATATAATATAGCCATCTACATCGTCACGGGGATGTGAATTCATAGATATAAAAAAATGATAGTGTAGTAAGAGAATCCACACCCTTCAGCCAAAGATCAGACAGGCCTATAAAACAAACAATAATCATGTAGTTCAACCATGTATACCAAACTAAATGGGCACACCAGCCCAGGGGCAAGCATGAGAAGGCAGGAGGGGACAGGAAAGCTGGATGAATGGAAATGGGGAACCCATGGTTGAGAAAGGGAGAGTGTTGACATGTCACAGGGTTGGCAACCAATATCACAAAACAATATGTGTATTAATTGTTTAATGAGAAACTAGTTTGCTCTGTAAACTTTCACCTAAAGCACAATTTAAAAAAAGGTAAAAAAAAAAAAAATAGTAAGAGAATCAAAATAATTCCATTTTATTAAAAAAAATGGTGTTGTTTACCCCAAAATGTTAACAGTGGTCATCTCTAAAGGGTTATGGGTAATGATAATTTTCTCCTCTTCTTTATCTGCATTTTCTAATTTTTTTCAGTAACTATGTGTTATATTAATTTAAAGAGCTTATTTTTTAGAGAAAATAAATGTTCTCAAATTATCAACATGTTATGATAATTTCTTAAAAATATGAATCTGGAGGTTATTCCCATATTAACATAAAAAAGGACAATTCGTTCCCTGAAAAAATTGAGAAAAAAACCAAACTGACCCTCTCCACTCTCGCATTTCCCTGTCCCTCACATTTTGCATTTCCTTGGCATGGAGACAGCAAGACATGTGATGGATCAAGAGCTCTGTTCAAAGCTGAAGGATCTGCTGGGCACCTGCAGAGGGTCTGCAGACCCGCCAGGTGGAGGGGAGTTTGGCTTACCTGGAGCACGCAGACCTCTCCCTGGGCCCGGAGCTGGCCCACAAGAAGGTAGGTGGTGAGCCCTGCGAGGATGGGGAGCAACACCAGGCAGAAGGTGAGAGCCCAGCGCATGCGGCCGCTCCTGGCCTGCAGCCCAGCTCTGGCCCTGGGCCTTTGGCTGCCGTCCTCTGGCAGCATTTCCACACTGGCTGTCTCTCCGAAACCCGGATCCTCCACCATGCTACTGCTGGCCCTGGAGGCGCCACTGACTCCTCCTCAGCCAAGAGACCCCCCATTAAATAGAAGACCAGCTTCACACTGTGGGTGAATTAATCACTCTGCCTACTCCTCCCCTTTTCTCTCCCCCTCCACAACGCGCTGTCGCCCTGCCTTGCTAGGGAATGCACCGCCTACAACAGAAACCAAGTTTGGTTTAAGGAAAAAAAACAAGAAAAGTTTTCCCAAGCGTATTTATATACAGCGTGCTCATGTGCTCCTTTCTCCGCTTACAGAAGGAAGTTAGGAAAGTCCCCAGAGGAGGAGATAAAGAATTCATCAAGTCAGTGGGCTGGGCCAATTAAAATATACCTGCTTCTGGTGCTGGAGTCCTGCCAGCTGGGCCCTTCTGGTAGCGTGCTTCTTCTGGAAGTGAAAGTGAGAGATGGGAAAATGTGTGGCTTGCGGCCTGGGAAATGGAAATCGTGTTTGCCTCAGCACTTTGCAAAGAGCTACCAAGCCCTAGGTCTTTTAGAATCTCAGAGAACACATTCCTATTTTACAGATGGGAATACTGAAGTTCTGAGTGGTGAAGGGACTGGCCCTAGATCATCCAGGAATTAAGACAGAAGAGCTGGGAATATGGCTTCTTTCTTCTCAATCCTGGTTTGGGGTTCTTGCCTGTACCCTACAACTGCTTGTGAAAAGAAAGTGTATTTCCAGCCTGTGTTGAGCAATTGTCTAAGCAGAGAGCATGAGGTCATAGAGGTGACTGTCCTTGATTGGAGGACATTGACTCCTACTCCCTTATTGTTTTGTTATGTGCTGTCGAGTTGGTTCTGACTCACAGTGACTCTATGTACAACAGAACGAAACGCTGCCCCGTCCTGTGCCATCCTCACAATCGTTGCTATGTTTGAGCCCATTGTTGCAGCCACTGTGTCAGTCCATCTAGTTGAGGATCTTCTTCTTGTTCACTGACCTTCTACTTTACCAAGCATGATGGCCTTCTGCAGGGACTGGTCCCTCCTGATAACATGTCCAAAGTATGTAAGACAAAGTCTTGCCATCCTTGCTTCTAATGATCATTCTTGCTGTACTTCTTCCAAGACAGATTTGTTTGTTCTTCTGGCAGTGCATGGCATATTCAATATTCTTCAGCAACACCATAATTCAAATGCATTAATTCTTCTTCAGTCTTCCTTATTCATTGTCCAGCTTTCACATGCATATGAGGCTATTGAAAGTATCATGGTTTGGCTTAGGCGCACCTTAGTCCTCAAAGTGACATCATTGCTTTTCAACACTTTAAAGAGGTCTTTTGCAGCAAATTTGCCCAATGCAATATGTCGTTTGATTTCTTGACTGCTGCTTCCATGGGCGTTGATTATGGATCCAAGTAAAATGAAATCCTTGACAACTTCAGTCTTTTCTCCACTTATCATGATGTTGCTTATTGGTCCAGTTGTGAGGATTTTTGTTTTCTTTATGTTGAGGTGTAATCCATGCTGAAGGCTGTAGTCTTTGATCTTCATCAATAAGTACTTCAAGTCCTCTTCACTTTCAGCAAGCAAGGTTGTGTCATCTGCATATCACAGGTTGTTAATGAGTCTTCCTCCCATCCTGATGCCAAGCTCTTCTTCATATAGTCCAGCTCCTCAGATTATTTGCTCAGCATACGGATTAAATAAGTATGGTGAAAGAATACAACCCTGACAAACACCTTTCCCGATTTTAAACCGTGCAGTATCCCCTAGTTCTGTTTGAATGACTGCCTCTTGGTCTATATACAAGTTCTGCATGAGCACAATTAAGTGTTCTGGAATCCCCATTCTTTGCAACGTTGTCCATAATTTGTCATGATCCACACAGTCAAATGACTTTGCATAGTCAATAAAACACAGGTAAATATCTTTCTGGTATTCTCTGCTTTCAGCCAAGAGCCATCTGATGTCAGCAATGATATCTCTCGTTCCATGTCCCCTTCTGAATTCAGGCTGAATTTCTGGCAGTAACCTGTCAGTGTACTGCTGCAACCGCTTTTGAATCATCTTCAGCAAAAATTTACTTGCGTGTGATATTAATGATATTCTTTGGTAATTTCCACATTCTGCTGGAACACCTTTCTTTGGAATGGGCACAAATATGGATCTCTTCCAGTTGGTTGGCCAGGTAGCTGTCTTCCAAATTTTTTGACATAGATAAGTGAGCACTTCCATCTTTGCATCCATTTGTTGAAACTTCTCAATTGGTATTCCGTCAGTTCCTGGAGCCTTGTTTTTCGCCAATGCCTTCGGTGCAACTTGGACTCCTTCCTTCAATACTATTGGTTCTTGATCGTATGATGCCTCCTGAAATTGTTGAATGTCAACCAATTATTTTTGGTACAGTGACTCTGTGTGTTCCTTTCATATTCTTTAGATGCTTTCTGCATCATTCAATATTTTGCCCATAGAATCCTTCAATATTATAACTTGAGGCTTGAATTTTTTCTTCAGTTCTTTCAGCTTGAGAAATTCTGAGCATGTTCTTCCCTTTTGGTTTTCTATCCAGGTCTTTGCACATTTCACTATAATACTTTACTTTATCTTCTTGAGCTGTCCTATGAAATCTTGTGTTCAGCTCCCTTATTAGGCCCTTACTAATCCAAAGTTAACTGACTTCCTTATTAGCCCAAAGTTAATTGAGCACCAGTGATATGCCTTGCCCACAGTTAAGTGTGGCATGGGGCCACAGCATGTAATAGAGATTAACGTTTATTAAGCACTAATTTTGTACCAGTCACTGTTCTGAATTCAGTGTATTAATGAAATTATTCAATCCTCAAAATAATCTTATTATTTAGTAATGTTATTTTTCCTATTTTACAGAAAAAGAAATTGAAGCATAGAGAGTAAGTGTAAACTAGGATTTGAACTCAGGCAGGCTGGCCCCTGGAGTGCAGTGGTTAAGCACTCGGCACCTAATTGAAAGGTTAATGGCTTTGTGGGAGAAAGACTTGGTGATTTGCTTCTGTAAAGATTGTTGCTGTTTTGTTAGGTTCCATCGAGTCAGTTCTGACTCATAGTGACCCAACGTACAACAGGATCAAACACTGCCTGGTCCTGCGCCATCCTCACAATTTTTGCTATGTTTGAGCCCATTGTTGCGGCCACCGTGTCAGTCTATCTCGTTGAGGGTCTTCCTCTTTTTTGCTGACCCTCTACTTTATCAAGCATGATGTCCTTCTTCAGGGACTGGCCCCTCCTGATAACATATCCAAAGTATGTGAGATGAAGTCTCGCTATCCTCACTTGTAAGGAGCATTCTAGTTGTACTTTTTCCAAGTAGGTATTATCATCCCAATTTAACATACTAAGAAACTGAAGCTTGGGGAAGTTAAACTAAGCCTAATCATTTTTTTAAAAATATCAGTATAGTCATTATAATCAGTGAGGTGGTGAGTCTTGGGAAGGTTTAGGACAGAGGAGTGGCCAGTTCTGACTTCAGTTTAAAAGGATCATCCTGGCAGATGTGTTGAGAGTAGTCTGAAGGGAGAAGAGTGGCATCAGGGAGACCAGCTTGGACGCTACTGCAATAATCCAAGCGAGGCATGATGGTTGCTTGGATGAGAGTGGGAGCACCAAAGGTCACAAGAAATAGTAGATTCTGGGTGTATTTTGAAGGAGAGCAGGCAAATTTCTTATTGAGCTAGATGTGGGGTGAGAGAGAAAGAGAAGAGGAAAGGCTGAGTCTCAGTTGTTTCGCTGAGCAGTGGAAGATTGAAGATGCCCTTAGAGGAGATGAGTTGAGACAGCATCATTTAAGATGACTTTTAGATGACCAAGTAGAGATGATGAGTAAGCAGTTGGATGATAAATCTGGGATCCTGGGGAGAGGCTTGGGTGCAGATATTAATTTAGCAGGGATGGTTAGTGCAGCTCCTATCACACTGTGCTCCAAAGGTGGGGTGGGGGGATCCTCTTGTGATTATCCAAAGTCCTTGGGGCCAAATTTTAGAGAAGTATTAAGTTGAACAGTATGAAGTTGCTGACATCTGACCATTTTGACCTACAATAATAGCAATTTCATATGGTGCACTCTAATAGTATACTCCATTCGCTCTATATTACAGAACGCTTGGGGTGAGGTCTAAAACAGCACCCCATAATCAAACACAGAAATATTTCTGCAGCCCCACATATCCAGTCTTAGCGCTACAAACATAAGGACTGGAAACAGGCACTTGTTCTTTCAAGTCAGCTTTTGCTGCTAAATGGATTATAAAAACTTGCAGTGTTTAGAACTTTTTGGATTTTGGATTGTGGGTTTATATTGTTATCATTGTTGTTGTTATTATTATTATTATTACTATTTTGTGTGGCTCTGTGGGGCTGAATTAGGCCAATGAATGGAAGGTGCAGAGAGACATATTTCAGCCCAATGTTAAGACCATGTTAATGCCATTCCAAGATAACTCATATTGCTTCTAGAGGTGAAAGTTCTCTAACCCAAGAGTAAGTACAGGATCTGAACAACCACTTACTTATTGGTGATATTTTAGAAAAAATTCAATTATTACAGAGGTGATTGGAGTTGATGTCTTTTACAGGTATTGATCTTACTAAGACAGGATGACTCTCAATCATTTCTATTCTTCAGGCCTCATCCTCTCCATCTGTAAAGTGGGGCCAGGGAGTTAAACTTTGTGATCATGAAGGATGCATCTAACATTTATGTTTCCAGAGTATTTGTACTTCTCTGTGTCTTCCCTTTGCCTCTGGTTGTTCCCCTCACCCATTTCTGCACATCTTTGCTTACATCCTTGTTTGCTGAGTAACTCTTTTTTCAGACTGTGCCATAGCAATTTCCCCTTGATGTGCAATGATGGATGAGCATGGACAGCTGGGATGGATCAGTTGACCTTTCCCAAACTGGGAAAAAGTATAATTTTTCGGTAATTATTTCTCGACGTCTAAGTATGTTTGACTTGTGCAATATCGATAATCTTTCTGCAAGGGTGTCAAGTCAGGGCATAGGTCAGC